ACCACACCCCAGAGCTTTGGGAATACTCACAGGTACACGGAAAGCAACAGGGAGAGGTGCTTCTTGCAGCATCATTTACACGAGCAACATATCTCAGAAGGGACCCAAGAGCTTGCCTTGTGGCAAGTCACCAGAGGAAGGGCAGGACGTAAACTCAGTGGAATGGAAATGCAGATGTGACATGACAGTTGTGGAAACTGCGATGTGACGCAGACTTACGAGAGGCGAGGTAGGTCCCTTCTGGATGTGGCTGTTGTATTTAAAGGGGGACGCTAACCCCCATCTCTTAGACGGTAGTGTGGCCTGAGGAGATGGCCTTCAAAGCAGTGGTCAAGGTCATAGCCCACCGTGAGTGCTCAGTGCGCTCTGAGATCACTGCAGGCATCAGAGTGAAGGCTGGGAGCCCGCGTGCGGCCTGGCGACGGCACGGCAGACGGACACCGGAACAAAGACGGAAATATAAGGCGTTTTGGTGTTGCTTGCGGTGGGTGTCTCAGGGCGGGAAGCTTGGGAGTGATTTGGGTTTTCTCTGTTTTCTGAGTTTTGGCGTCTAGGATACTATTAAGTTCTCTGCTTGTCAGAATGCCACGAAGCTTCTAGTACCAACCGAAGAAAATACATGTTTACAAATACACATCTTCAGCTCCCTATCTCCAGGCTCGCTGCCGGCGAGGTGAGGCTGGCTCGTTGTGACGAACTCTGGAGGCGTGTAATTCTTTACTTTCTTGTCCCCAGAACCTTGGAGACAGAGAAAACACGGCTCAAGGCTGGCGTCTCTTAGCATTTCTGAGTGGTAGAGATCGGCCCTAGGTGAATGGCCAAGGGCCCCAAATCAACGGTGAATAAATGTTAAACACTCACCGGTCCCAAACTCATGGGATCTGTGTTAGGCTGGGTTCTCCAGAGAAGCAAACGCAATGACGCTTGCATGTATGTACAGAGACAGAGGTTTGTATCAAGAAACGGCTCACACAGCTCTAGAGGCGGGTAGGTCCAGTCTGGTGCAAGTCCAGGGGCCAGACGGTAAATCGAAGGCTTCTCCTGACTGGTGCAGATGAGGGGGTTGAGGAACCAGAAGGACAAAGCTAGACCACAGGCTAGAGGGTGCAGAGGTGAATGAACCCAAGGGCAGCACTCCATTGCTGGCTGCTGGGACTGGCAGGCCATATGACAGGAGTCTACAAACAGGTGTGGCATGCAGACCCAGCAGAAGTGACCGGCTTTCCCACGGAGCCTGCTTAAAAAAGGAGCGAGTTGAATGCTCAAGGAGTCCTTCCAAATGAATCCAGGGGGCTCTAGGCCAACACAACTTTCTCAGCCAGCCAGTCTGCCCACACGGTGGCAGTGCAACTCCACACTCAACAGAGTTGGTCGGTGCACAGGTTCCCCGGGGCCCTAAGAGGTACCTTCCCTTCCTTTCATTCTCCCAGATGGCAGCACGGAGAGATTTCACAGCCAGTTGCTAATGGTGAAGTCAGCAGTTCGAACTCTACAGAGGAGTCTGTTTGCTCCTGTAAAGATGTACAGATTGGTCCCAAGGTCACAGAAAGACTCTGAAGAGAACATTATTGGTGCTGCCCTGCCTTCCTGGCTATAGGAGGGATGGCTTGTCATCTTTGGAGGGCCGGGCCAGCCCATGAGGCAGACAGAGCAGCCTGCACCCACCGGGCCCTGATGGGGCCCAAGGTTCCAGGGTTTAAAGCAGAGCTCTCCTGGGAAGGGTGAAACAGGTACAAGCCTCAGAGCAGTGGGGTGGGGTAGCATGGCTGGGGGGACACTCACACCAACTGGGGTTTGCATCTGGGCTCAGCTTCTGGCAAGTCACTTGCCCTCTCAGGTGTCATGGGGATGGGGCTGATGAGAGCTTATGGGGTAAGAGATAGGAGTTGGATGGTTTGTGCCCCCTTCCATGTTGGAGACCAAGATTCGAGGCCCAGCCAGTGCAGTTGATGGGCAGCTCCCACACACTTGTCAGTGGAGGTTCACATGTGACACTGAGCATGGTTCCCTGGAGCTTCCAAACTCAGGTGGACTTGGGAAAGAGGCTAGATTCTTCCACTCCCATTTCTCAACTTCAGATGGCTTTGGGGGATTTCCCACCGTCACGAGTGAAGGCTGATTACTACCACTCTCGTTCTTATTGTCAATAACAGCAGGGTCTTTGAAAAGGCACAGGGACCCCCAAGGATGACTCTTGCCGACGGTGGACACACCAATTGAATCTGTCACTTGATCATGACGTTGTTAATGATCAAGGGGTGGGCTGGAGAGGCAAGAATCTTAGCTTTTTGTTGCTGTGGTTGTCTCAGGGGAATTGTTCCTGGGTTTGATTTTAGTGAAAATGACGTATGTCTGCATTCTCTTCCTAGGGAGAGAATTCTCTTTCACCTTCCTCGTTGTATACATGTTGAAGCCCAAACCATCAGCCGAATCCTTTCCAGCTAGCATCTGTGGTGAGGCGTTTTGCCCAACAGAGCATCAGGGTCGTTCAGCTTCTGACTCCAGGTTCAGCCTGTTCTGCCCTGGCTCGTGGCAGGCCCAGGGAGAGTGTCTCTACTCCCCGGAAGCTGTCCCTGGAGTCCCTGTGCTGCTCTCTCGGGCTTCGTCTCTCCCGAGCTTATAGATGGTTGATGGGAAAAGGCACAGAGCGGGGATTGTGGACCCCAAAGAGCAAGCTGAATCAAAGAGAGAGGAGACAACTTACAGTCTCCAAGTCTTGGATTTACTTCACGTTGCAAGGTGACCAGGCAGGGTTCTAATGAGGACCTAAAGAAACAAATGGCACGTAAGACCACATCACCGATGGAGGTTGGGAGGCAGCAGCCATAGGGAAAGGCTGATTCGGAAAAGTAGAGCCCAGGAAGGACAGATGGAAAGAGCAAGGATGCTCGGAAAGCTTGTTCCCCCCATGCATTCAAAGGAAGCCCACCTGTGAAAAATCAGAGCACAGACACTGGCACCTAGAACGTAAATGATGACAATGATACTCATGTTGTTGTCGTCCTTCCGATAGTTAGGTCCTCTCCCATTGCTTCCAACCCACAGCAACTGTGGCAGGTGGCAGGGTTTCCTCGGCTGCCATCTTCCATGAGAACAGATGGTCAGTTATTTCTTCCATGGAGCCACTAGGTGGGTTTGAACCACCAACCTTCCTGGTAGCAGTCTATGCTTAACCATTGTGCCACCAGGCGTCCTTGCATTATCATAATTGACCTATATGTGTGCACAAGGCCCCTAGATTTTGGCTGTCATAGCAATGGTCTGCAAGGCTGTCTTAGACCCCAGAGGCTATGTGATCGGGCAACAAGCAAGCGCAGGATATCTGGGTCTGTGGCCCACTCCTGCCCCATGCCTGCTGTAGGGCCATGGCCTCCTCCCTCTGGACTCAGGCTGGCTGAGCCCCTACTACCAGCTGCTGGGGCAAGGGGAAGAGGGTGCGTCAATACTGAGTGTGAAAAGTGTAGTCTTTAAGCTGCTGCCCACACTGCCCAAGTCAGGGGGGTGCAAGCCTGCCTACTGTCTGGAAGGGGGAAGACTGGGATCTTCCCGGACAGCTAGGGGCTTACCGGGCCTGCGGTCATTTTCAAATGCTCGGTCTTCGACTGTGACCTTTACCCAAAACAATACTTGTGCTCATAGCACTGCTTGTTCTCTGGGGTGGACTGCTTTAGGATGCCTGAGGCAGGCAGACCATAACATCCTAATTGCTTTTCGAACTAGAATAATTTAGATTTGCGCCTTCTCCCAAGTACAGTGAGAGATTAACTCCTTTAGTCAAAAGATCTTTAGGTAACCCCAACTAAGGCCATGTCTCAAACCAGAACCCCACTGCCACAGTCTATCCTTCCTGTCTATCAGTTCTCCCTCCCAAGGAGATCTCAAATTCACGGCTACTGGACTCGGTATAAGGTGGCATGCATGAACTCACCGTGTGAATGAATGTGCCCAGCATCTCATTCTGCTTAAAGCCTCCTATTATGGTTTCCTGCATTCACAGCCACTACCTACTCCTACTGGTGATGGTTAGCCTCCGGGAAACAGCCACAGGCTTTGGGCAGAGTGAGAGCCCTGGTAGTTGACAGGTCAGAAGTTGAGCTGTTAACCGTGGGATGGTGGTTTAAGGCCTCCCTGGAGAAAGAGGAGGCTGGCTGCTCCTGCAGAGATTTACCCCAGGGACCAGGTCTACCTTGTCCTAAGGGGTCACTCTGAATGGGGCTTGATTTGACACCAGTAGAAATTTCATTTTTGCCTTTTAAACACTTGTACCGGAACCATAAGCCTTCTGAGTACCCCCTCCCCCCAAGAAAGCCACAGCCTTGGGGCAATTTGTGATCCACGGGGACTATTTGAAAACCAAGCAAAAACCCTCAAGTCATTCCTGACCATAGTGACCCTCTGGAACGGTCCCCTAGGGTTTTCAAGACGGCCCATCTTTTAGGGAGCAGACGGCCTGTCTAATGGTGGTTTTCAACCATGGCCCGGCCAACCTCAGTAACCCACTAAACCGCTGGGGCACCTTTAGGACCTCAAAATGAGAAAGTGGAATTTCCCCATTTTATAGATGCGAAAACTGAGGGTCAACGAAGTTACATCATCCCCGGAAGCTCACTAACACAAGAGTCAAGCAAGGACTCACACGCCAAGTCCGCTGCAGAATTTCAGCATTGTGACCAAAAGC